ACTCCAATATTGAATTAATTTTGTGCAATAAGAATAGTACAAAATATTTATATTTTTTATGTAATTATTTCAATCTTCTATATTTATTTAAATTGATAAAAACCTATTCATGGTTATAAAATATTTTTTTATTTTTTTGTATAATAACTATTTATATAATTTTTTAAAATATATATGATGATGAATTATATAAAAAAGATAATAATTTTTTTAAAACCCTCACTTGATTTCAAATATAAATTTGAAATTTAAAATTTAAAATTAATTTAACTATTCACTCGAGGTATACAAAAATTACTTTAATTTTATAATTTAATAGGAAAATGTTAACTTTATTAATGGTGGTAAATCAAATATCTGGATTGGGATTACTTTTTGATAGATATGATATGCATGCCTAGCTAGTTTGCTTGCTGCCGTGTTATTCCGCCTTTATGTGTTTCCTCTTTTCCAGCTGGGCCTCCCGTTTGCTGATTTAAATCCATATCTCGTCTTTTCATGAAAAAGTAAAGCTCGACAAGATGTCGTCTACTTAAAAAGATCATTTTGTTTTCTTTATATTACAATCCACATTGGATTATCGTTCTCATGATATCCACTCTCCTGATATTAGCTCTAATTCATTGGTTAACCTTTGCATATTGGGGAAAATTAGATTGTGTGATTTATTTTTTATTAAATGGATAGATTTATATAATATAATATATATGTGTCTTCTTTAAAGTAAAAAAATTATATTATGTTATGTTATAATATTTTTTATTGTCAAAAAAAATATTACCAATAACTCAATTTTCCTTTTTTACCGTTCAAGTGGGTCACCTCAAACTTAATTAAATTTTGGTTCCTCTTAAAGCGCTTTGAAGCGCATAGATGTATTTTTATTTATAATTAATTTTTATTTTTATTATAATACAAAGTCATACTCAAGCAACAATTTTCAGCAAAAGATCATACAAAGAAGCAAAGTGCCTAAAAGGTTCGTTGTTTGACCTGATAAATTGGGTCTGGCCCATCCACAAAAATAATTCTTCCAGCCCAAAGAGTTTGACAATGGGCCAACAATAATTCTTCCAGCCCAAATAGTTTGACAATGGGCCAAGCAAGTGGTCTGCCTAAAAAATTGTTCAGAGGCCCAGTCTATAAACAATGGGCAATTATAATTTAATTTTTTTAAAAAAATATTAAAAATATTAAAACATCCAATAATAATTACATGATATGTATAGTATAATATGAGTTTTAATTTTATTAAATTCATAAAATAATAATTATTAAATATTCTGACACTTTTAATATAAAATCTCTTAATTTTCTTTTTTTCCTTTTAAAGTTTTACACAATTTTTCTTTTTTGGGAAGTTAGACCGAAGACAGCAATTTCTCAACGCACAAACCCCAATTCGTGTCGATAAGGGCTTGACTCTGAAGACTGTATTCGAATGTCACTGTTAGTCCGTTATGATGGAATCGACCGCGGCAAATGAAGAAGAGGTTTATGGCTCAAGTTGTGTTGTGTTGTGTTGCAAAATACTACAGGATACCCTTCTCAAATCCTTCTATGTTCTATCTCAATTAAAAAGATCTCAAAAAAAAAAAAAAAAAATCCCTCTATACTCATTCCATTGGAACTTAAAATCCTTTAATATAGAATCTCAAATTCTTTAACTTTTGTAATGTTTGTTTTCACTTTCATCCACACTATTCTTTGCCATTTTGATTGAAAATTTTCTATCTTGAGAGTAGAGATTTGGGAATAATTATCTCTTTGGTGATCTATTAGAAAAATTACACATTATAGTGATTACACATGAGAATTAGATTATAAGAGATCTTGAAAAATTAACACATTTTTGTAAAATATTAGAAATTATAATAAGAGTTACGCACTTTTAAAAAAATATTTAAATAAGTATAATAATATGGAGTTAAAAAATTTAAAACTAATAATATAATTTATATCCTATCATTAAATTGATTAATATATATAATATTATGAGTTTAAAAAAATTAAAAAATAATTATTAAATAATATAAAATTTATATTTTAATATTTTAATTAACGTAATCTATATTACATTATTAATTTTAAATTTTAATTTAATTTATTATTATTTTTTAAATAATATCATAGATAATTATAATATTTAAAATATTAAAAAACTGTCTTTCCATCTCAATTATTGTGAATTATACTAACAAGTAACAACAGAATGATAGGAGTCCATCCCCTATAAAATGTTATTACGTTTAATTTTTAGTTCTCTGACTCAACAACCAAGTAAGACTCCGTCCAACCCAAATGGGGAGCTTACGTCACCGCCGTGATAATGGACTTCAACGTACGTGCGTCTCCCCATTTTGCTTTTCGAATCGTGGTTCCATTCCCCCTTGTCTTAAACTCACCCGGCGCATGTTAGCATCTCTTCCATGAGCCCACGTGGTCCCCACTCTTCCGCCTCAGGCGGTGGCCGTGAAGACTGTTGGAGCCAGGGAGCCACCGGCACGCTCATCGACGCGTGGGGTGACTGTTACCTTAGGCTCAACCGGGGCAACCTTCGTCAGAAGGACTGGCAAAAAGTAGCGGCCGCCGTTAACTCCAGCCATGACGGCCCCAAGCCCCGCAAGACCGACGTGCAATGCAAGAACCGCATCGACACGTTGAAGAAGAAGTTCAAGGTCGAAAGAGCCAAACCCTCACCGTCGAAATGGCCCTTTTTTCAACGCCTAGATTCTCTCATCGGTGCAAACGCCTCCGCCACCAAAAAGTCTCCGGCCACTAGCTTGACCGTCAAGCCCAAGCCAGCGGCTTTCTCAAAGGGATCAAAATTATCCGAGAGCATGTGTGATGACGATGATGATGGCGCTGATGAGGTCAAGAAGGCGCATCGAGTGGAAGATGTAGAGCTATCTGATGGAGCTGCGTGCAGGGAATTAGCAAGGGCAATATTGAAGTTCGGGGAGATTTATGAGAGGGTAGAGAGCTCAAAGCAACAGCAGATGATGGAATTGGAGAGGCAAAGATTGGAATTTGCCAAGGACTTTGAGTTCCAGAGGATGAACATGTTTGTGGATGCCCAATTGGAGATGGAGAAATTGAAGAGGCAAAAGCTTCAGGCTCTTACAGGTTTGTTGTCAATTACATCACCTGGTTCAATTGGATTTGCAACAAATTGAAAGGTTGAAGATTGGCATGTTTTAGGTTCAATAGTGGATGTAATGACAATTTTCAATGGCAGTGATAATGGTGTTGTTTGAGTCCTCACCATACCATTTCTATGCAAATACAACGAATATCTATCTCTTAGTAGTGGTCTACATGCTGCATTGTAAATGCATTGTGTATAAATCTTTGTGAGATCCTCAAATTTAATGTTCCCAGCAAGCTTTGGGGGTATGAATCTTGTCAAAGTCTGTAGATTCTTGTTCATATATGAACCAAATATGTTAATTGTGATCTCATAGTAGCATCTTTATCCCTGACTAATATAGCGCTATGATAAAATGAATGTGAAAATTTCTTATCAGATTTAGTTGGATAGAGGTGTTTCAGGAATGTGCTTTGACACAGCTTGGTTCTCTCTTATAGATATGATGCCTTGTAATTTTCAGCTTTTTTTTTGGGTAAAGTTGATCTTGTTTGTTAGTTTTGAACTCAGCTTTTGTTTAGGATCTAATAAGCATTTTTGGGAACCTTACATGCCTTGAACAGGGAAGAAGCACTAGGAGATTGATGGTGCTCCATCTGGAAAATGAAGCAGCCTTGTATCTTTGTGTTATTGTATTCTTGGTCCTCTTTGGATCTCAGGCACTTGGATAGAGGTCCCTTGTCTGTGGGAGCCAACAATTTGAAGATCAAAAACCTTTTGAGTTTTTAATTTTTGGTGTATATAACTAGTTGTTTGATTAGAATTACCCAACAATTTCAAATGTTGTAAAGTGCAGTTAATTATCAGTGCCTTGCATTCTTGATCTTATCATTTGCTGTGTTAGAAAAATGTCTAAACTGTGAAGCATTGTATTTTTGCATTCATCTCAGAATTTCAGAGAAGACTGCTGATTTGATCAGAATTCTTTCGAAATTTTTGTCTATTTTGGACATTGAGGCCCTCCATCTGACCTGTGTTGTCATATGAATTGCAGAGCTAATTATCAGCCCATATTCTGCATTTATACTTATTAAAGTATATGACTTTTAACTCGACATTGTAGGAGCTACTCCTGTAGGGTCATACGGCAAAGGCAGATTGTTGAAGACAGCAAACGTGTCAAGAAAGGGAAAAAAATATTGGCCATAATTCATGCTTTGAAGAATTCTGCAAACAAAAGCTCACAAACAGCAGCATGTGATTCTTACTGGGTGATGGGACGAGTATCAGAAAAGCAAGAAGGTACAACTCTTTGGTACATTCTTGAAGATTTTTCCCCGAAGGAAAAGAAACTTTACAATCTTAAAGATTAAGGCTTGTGATCTCTTTTATCTTTAGAAATGATCGTTTCTTAGGATGCTAAACATTCTGAGCTTATTCATTTAGAAAATACCTTTAATTTTCTGCATTTCTTTTTCCAGAACATAAAATTTAAGGCCAAGAGTCTAAGCGTTATTTATAAATGAGAAAGAGAGAGATCATTCATGCCTTATTATATATGGAGCTTGGCTATAGTCATACATCTGTCCATCTTGATTCATTTCAGATGAAGTGAGGCTGAAGCTGTTGAGGAATCCATCATAAGCAGGAGGCTCACTGAAAGGCATGATGCTGCAGGCAGCAGAAGAATGCATGATGCTACAGGCAGCAGAAGAATTTGCAGCGTAGCGAGCAAGGCGAGCTCTTGCGATAGCCAAATCATGTTGCAGCTCGAACATCTTCCTCTGTAACATAGCTATGGCACCAATGCAACCGTAGACAGGGTCCTTGAGCCTTACCTCCGCTTCATATGCCAGTGAATTCACCGTCTCCTCGCGTTGCTCCTCCGGCACTTCGATCAGAATCTTGCTCACATTACTAGCTCCAAACACCTTGTGTACCTGGGCAAACTTCTTGGGCTCATCTGATTTGAAATACGGCGCAAAAATACAGTTGGGAATGCACCTTCTCTTCAGCAACTTGCAAGCTGCACAAGAAGAGCTTGAACGTGGTTCGTGTCCCCTCATGTCTACAAATCTCTAGTGTGATGTCCTAGCCCCCTTTCCATCTTCCATTTATACAGCCTTTACCTTTCAAAGACTTGAGGGCATAAAAGAAATTATTGCTTTACGAAGAAAGTGACCTTGCAAAGTAATTTCAGAGGGTATATAATTAGAAGCAACTAGTATTATTAAGGTATTTAACGATTGTATGTATTGGAATTTGGAGGAGGGGTCCAAATAATTGAAAATGGGGGCAGAAGCATTATAAATATGTATGATTAAGTTTGGTTGAGACATGATGGTTCAGAGATAAAGATGAAGTACTTCATGTGATTGAAGGAGAAAGTTACACAAGAAAAGCAGACCACCCTTCACTATGTTGGCTTTTATCTCATCAAGGAAACCCTTCTGCCTGCCTCAAAACATCAACTAGAAATTTACATTGGAAGTACTTTTGGTAGTTTTTTATTTGGATTGGCAACATTTATCTGCAGCCTCTCTCCTAAGAATATCATCAGCTATAACTTCTCTTAGGTAAGTTATTTTTCTCATATATATTAATACAGTTCAACCCCATGATTTAATCAAGCATTTGTTATCTATATAAAAATCAAGAAATCGATGAGAATTTACTTTCTGTTGACCTCTTTAAAAAGATCAAATACAAATAAATAGGGTAAGAAACAAATATGCTTCCTAATCAGGCTACCAACCATGTGAAGGGTAAGTTGGGTTATATTAATAATTTCATAAAATTGAGGCATGAATATAAAAAAAAAAAAATGTAGTACAATTTAAATAATATTATATTAATTATTAAATAAAAAATTAAACTTTATAATATTAAAATTTTTTTTATCTAATAATTTTTATTTTATCATTTAATATATATCCAAAATGGTAAAACAGATTCCATGAATATTAGCAAAAATGAGTTAGAAGAATGTCACTTCATTTGATGGTAGGGCAATGGAGAAAAGAAGGGGTGGGGGGGGGGAAGGGATGATAATGCTCTTCACTCCTCACAATGAGCCCCACTTGTTCTAATGCCCTGTCGTTTTCTCCAAAAACGCACTCATCGACAGAGTAGGGCTAGACTTTGGAGTGTGTTTGGCACGCGCCACCAACATTGAATGGACCGTGATCCACACGTGAAGATCAACAGCGTTTCATTGGGTGGTTGGGGTGTGGTGTGGGGGAAGAGAGGGAATATGGGCCGGGCCAAGATTTTTGCTTCGTTGATTCCCCACCATGGATGATGAATCATGAAATGGTGTTTGCTTCATCTTCATAATTTCCACTTTTTTTTTCTTTTTTGTGGTAAATAAAGTTTTAGGGTAACATCTTGCTCTAAGGCATGCCAATGGCCTCGGTGATGATTATAAATTATTCTCGGTTCTGTTCTTATTTATTTGTTTTTATAATTAATTTTACATGTAATTTTAAGTGATATATGTAGATTATACAAATAATAATTAAATTTTAT